GGCGTTCTGGAGATTGAATGAATCTTCTGGTTTTGTTATTGTCCTCCATATTTTTGCATCGTCTGGAAACAGCGGAGTTTGTGGTCCGAGGACGTCTGGAAGATCATTTATATAGGCAAGGAAAAGACGTGGGCCTAGCACAGATCCCTGTGGAACCCCACGGTTGACATCTTTTGGATCAGAAAGTGAATCGGAAACACGAACCGATATGGTACGTTGGCGAAGAAACTCCTCGATCCAGCCAAGTACGAGTCTACGGATTCCATAGTTATACAGGTTCCGTATCAGTATTTGATGATTTACTCTATCAAATGCTTTAGAGAAGTCCAGGTAAATAACATCTACTCCTTGGCCTTGGTCTACAGCATGAGTCCAATCGTCCCGAGCCAAAATCAAGTTAGTTGCACATGAACGATTTTTTCTAAACCGGATAGTAAGTCAGTTTTTTCCAGATGATCCATTACAGAATCCGTAACAATGGATTCCATGACTTTGGACAACACTGGAAGGAGAGTGACGGGTCGATAGTTGGCTGAGTCACTACCGCATCCACCTTTGTAAATTGGTGAAACGACACCGATTTTCCACACCTGAGGAAGCACAAACAGTTTTTGGTATAGCTCTCTTAAATGACCGGCTATGTGACTTGCCAGGGTGATAAGGGATTGTGGATGAATATTATCTTTAGACCCCATTGTCCGAGGTTCAAGCCCCACCACTGCCACCCGACTTTGGTGGTAGGCAGCTCTGCTGTCGTCCGGTTCAATACCACAGCCAACCTATCGGGGCCTTATGTGGTTCGCCACTCCAAGTCCCGGGGAGTAGGTTACCGGTTTCTATCACTGAGCAGCAGGTCCTCGTGATTATGGGGCTATGCTATTCATCACACGAAAGTGTGTAATTTAAAAAAAATGAAAAACGAGCATGCAGCATGAATCTTTGAAAACAAAAGGAACCCAATTTCTGAAATAAAAGCAATGCAGATGATGAATCAGAAATTGTTAGACTTATGACAAACGTGGTTCCAGGAGAAAAAACAGTCGAAACATAATGCCAGTATGAGATGCGTGGAAAGAGGGGCTCAGTTTTTACGACTGTTCAACGAGGAACTAGGATCGTATCGGGAACCAAATTCGAATTCGGTCAGAATGCAGTTCTGCTTTCGTGAGCATGTGCGTGCTTCGCAGACGGTATCAAAACAGCTAGTTTTTTCTCAACTAAGATNAACTAAGATGAACAAATCCGATTCCACACATAAAACAAAACAGATGTCATTACCGAAGGAAGCGTCAAATTGGGTGAAACTTTGATTGGACGGGACACGGGAAAAGTTGCTTTGGTTCAACGTGCATAACCTATGACTATTCTGTCGTCATTTACAATAAAAATGGACAACTGATAGAAGAGTGAAAAGAGTGGAAAAAATCGACAAACATCAAGTTGGATTAAATCCAAAGGCAATGGAATTAAACGGACCAATGGGAGATGCAAAAATGAATAAATGATGAGTAGATATTTCGGGAAAAGTGATGCGGAAAAAACATTTTCGGTAACCTTGGTGGTAATGACCCCAAATTACATGGTGAATTATAATAACAATAAGATTGGAATTATGAATTTGCTGGAGCTGTAAAAGTCATTTCAGATGTGCCAAGTATTTTGGAGCACGTGCTTTATACCGCACAGCAATTTACTACGTTTACTAACCACTGATGTGGATGACAGTTAAACATAAATCACCCCAAGTTGGGTAAAGCATAAAATAGAGTTAAAAGATCACTACAATAGAGACACAATAACTAACCTCTTGCATCCGCTGTCGCAGAATATCTGCGCACTGCCGAGTCCAATCAGATGAACTCGTGGGATCTTGCAGAGGGCCGTGATTGATTGGATCTGGTTTGAGACCATCGAGCTCGTACAGGAATCCACCGAAAGGCACATAACAAACAAAATGAAAAGTATCCAACTGGATGGCATTGACGGCCCCGGTAGATGCCGCCGAGGCAGAGGATGAAGTTGTTGTAGTTGTCACAGTAGACGTAGAATCGGACCCTGGGTTACTCAGTGCTAAAGCGGCACTCGCGGCGGCAGCAGCCGACGCTGCTTCACTCGGTTCCAATACCGGTGAAGCAAGTGGATTGGTGGATTGATGACTGGGGATTGAATGAGGTTGAGCCGCATGTCGATTGTGAGCCTGAGCCAGCTGGGGCATGCTACCGATGGCTGTACCCTTTGCCTCGGGAGACAGTTGTCGAGTAGCCTTTTGAAATTCGGAGAGCATCGGACCAAGATCTAATTCGGGGCGATTGAGCAGAATGCTCAGCAAGGCGTGAGTGGCGCACGAGTTTTGTACAGTTTGCCGAGCAAAAAACAGCTCATTAATCTCTGCAATACCCGTGATCGTGTTGCGGTCGGCATTAGGTCCTTGGTCCATGGAAGTGCTGTGATTATTTCCGGCGGACCCAGAGGATGACCGAAGGCGTGCACTAACCCCATCTTTCTGGGATCGGGAGGAATCAGTGGTACCTGTGATGTTTGTGCAGTTTGCAGTAGGAGCTGCTATTCCGGAGTTTGGAAGTAGTGAATTCGATGAATTTGTAGAACCACGTCCACTCCGTCGATGCACCTGTATGCAAAGAGATATGTATCTAGTTAGTGATGTGCGATCGCACAGAAACATGACAAACAAAATTACGGCACAGAACCCAACATGCTTCTATGTTCTGTATTTTCAGCACTAAAAACAAAACCATGGAAGGGTAGATAAGGGGAATCGTCGATCAAACGCGAAAAATAAATTTCATTGGAGTAAGGGTGGATGGAATGTAAAAACATACATCAAACTGAGCGGAGTTTTTGCGTATTAACAGGTTCAGCTTCGAAAACATCATCATTGAACGTTTGCAGATCAGTCTTGTTGGCTGTATCACGAATACCCACTCATTAAACAAACTAGGAGTAAAACTAGACGATAAACTTTGTGGTAATGGGATAAAATAGTATACGTGTAGAAAGTGAACATACGCACCAGGGCAAAATTTTCCTAAACTCGCACTGTTTCTCACCAGAGAGCTCCCGACAGAACACCAAACGTGACCTACTTAAACAATTCCTTTGGTTCAGTTTTTCATAACTGCATACCGTCTTTCCCGATAAACACAGTATGGCCATGAAGCCTATAGGGTGGCCTGCATAACACATACCTAACCACAGAGCATCGGCTCGAGAGAGCAGAGCCGTGTTACCGAGCGCGTCCCAGGTTGTGGATAGAGAAACGACCGTTAGTGCGCGGATAACCGTTCAAAAAGTCGACTTAGGTTCACCGGAGAAGCGGCCGTGGGCGATCAGCGGCAGTGCTCTAGGGTGTTGTTGGTTTAACCGTCGGCACGGGGTCTCCGCACGAAACAACACACATCTGTGGACAGCGGTGTGATATGGCGATTGCCCCTCGGGGGAGACAAGGCTTTCCAGAAGAGATAAATAAACACCAGCCACCGGCTCAACTGGAACATCGCTGTNGCAACCCACAACGTATACAATCACGAATTATGGAATCCCTTTCCTCAGTGAATCTGTACTCAAAGCATCCTTCTATTATTGCAAACCATTCACCACGAATACCGTCCTGCTGTCCTAACCTTTCTTCATTTCACCTTCGTCCCCCTCCCCTCACATTTTCACTTTTATTGGGGTCTTCAGACGATTGTACTATCAAATTAGCCGCATTCAACGTGCGTAAGCTGATGCCTATAGGACAACAGCTATGATAAGCCCATGCCTTTGAGACCCTATCCATCGATTTGTGTTGTGTCCAAGAGACTGTCATACAAGACTCCAGCTGCACCATACAACTGAGATCTTCAAACGAATGTGCGACGTTTCGTGTCTCTCTGGAGACCCTAAGGCTAAGGCTTCTGGTCTTGCTGGCCTTGGTGTGACTCTGAGAGATGAGGCCGCGCCGTCAGATTGGATCCCAGTCCACAGTGGGTTGTAGGCAGTAGGACTTAGAGGCTCTTGCATCATCATCATCATCATCATCATCATCATCATCGTTCAGCGAGATACAGTGAAGCAAACTTTGCTCGTTGCTGCAAAGTAACCTGTTTGTAGTATCAGCGTACTCACCCACGGACCGTAGCCTCTATACAAAGATATCTACCCAAAACTGCATAACTCCTTACAAAAACGAATAGGGTTGATATCGTGATACTAGCAGGAGACAAATACTACAGTAGGTCTGTTGTCTTCTAGTAAGGGGAGCCTAGAAGGCCCTTTCGGCCCCANCCATGTTCTGGCTATCACTAATTCCTCGCCCGCACGAATTTCAGACGACCCAACTCCTGAAGGGCCATAGGGCGTCGCTCTCCTCGAGTCAGCGAAGGACGCAGATAAACCAAATCGCTTTAAGCGACAAATAGCGGGATTGCATCAAGGACTGTTGT